CTATGAAAATCTGCTTGTCAATATAGGCAATACAGAGCATGTTATGACTTGGGACATAAGTACAATTCTCTAAACTCCAAACATACCTTTCAAATGTCTCTCCATACATTATTTTATTTTTTGTGCCTTCACGTCAATCTATATTAGTGACTGATCAGAAATTTCCTTCAGTTCTCTTGGCAAGGTTTCAGAAATGATTTATCACTGTCTACTTCCTAAGGCTAAGAGAAAATGACTTGCCCAAGGTCACCTTACTGGCTTTATCCCTAAGGCAGACTAGAACTCATGGTCTCCAGGATTCTAACCTGATACTTTAACCATTATACCAAACTGGGTCTCCATTCCAGCTTGACTCAACAGTTGAAGACTTCAAGGTTTCATGTGTTCCAGTGCTTGGGCTTCGTATACACAAGCTTCTGTAAGGGAGAAAGGGCAGCAGCTTAGGGAGCTCTCCTGGGAGTGTGATATTGCCAGCAAATTGTACCAGTATTTGGGTTATTGGATTGGATCTATGATAATTCACCATGTCCAACTTACCAAGACCAACTCACCACGTTCAACTTGCCATGGTCAACTTGCTGTGACCATAGGAAAACTCACTGCAGGACAAGAGTTACACTAATATCAAATAAATTGTGGAGTAGAATAATTAAAAAGGATGCAAAAGCAGGGATAGAATGAAATGTGAATGATAAAAATTAAAATCATTTTTTAAATTTTAAATAATTAAATTGAATTGTTAAATTGTCTTGCCGCAAGTTGTCCCAGGGCGAGCTGTCCCGCAGTGAGTTGGCTGTAGTGAGTTGGCTGTAGAAGTTGTTCCATTCATTATTGGATGTGGGTTGAAAAAATACTGATGATTCCTAGATAGCTCCCACAATATAGACACTTTTCTCTTTCCTGCCATTTAGTGACTGATCTAGGAGTGCATGTTAAGTTTATGTATTGTCTGTCATGGAACCCCCAGACATTATACAGCCGCCAGAAAATGCTTAGATTCCTTTACCAATAGCAATAGTACTTATATACACAGTGCTTTACAGCCCTCTCTAAGCAGTTTAACAGAGTCAGCATATTGTCCCCAACAATCTGGGTCCCCATTTTACCAACCTCAGAAGGATGAAAGTTGAGTTAACGTTGAGCCGGTGAGACTCGAAATGCCAAACTGCTGCAGCCAGTAGTTAGCAGAACTAGCCTGCAGTACTGCATTCTAACCACTGTGCCAACACGGCTCTTATGGTTGCATATCAGCTCTGCAACAACCAAGTTTGTTTTCTAAAGATTATAGGTTCAACTAAGAGTCTTAGAACTATGGCCATTTACACTGTCTCAAGTATATTAATGTCACTGGCACAACTTAGTATAAAGCACCTTCTTCTACTATTAAATAAATAATTTGTGCTAAAAGTAAATAAAGCTTAACTCTTGGTGATTCTGACTGTGAAGCTCTTTTGGCAGCATTATGAAAGTTTGCTGTTTTTTTGTGGTTTCTTTTATTTCCTAATCTAGCTAACAGACATAGCATTTCATAATCAACCCAATCCAAATACTAATCAGGACTGACCTTACATGGCTTCTGAGATCAGCCAAGTCCATTTGTTAAGACATTTCTAGACAGATAAACTTTGCTGCCAGAGCTGCTCTCTGCATATATATTCTTTTTTTTAAAAAAAATCTGGCATTAAGTTGCCGAGCAGACAGCCATTTAACAATAAATGAAGAACATCAAAACATAGTCCATGTTCAAGCAAGCACAAAAGACACAAACAAGCATTTAAATTATATTCTCGGCTTCTGAACAGCTGTTTGCAATCAAACTGGATAGAAAAATATACTGCTTCCAGTTAGCCAGAAAGTCTCATGTTGGGAGGTCATTTGTGGCTTGTAGCTTGCCCGGCCTGGCTTACATTATAGCAGCTTTTGCCTTTTTAATCCTCAGATCATTTCACCATAGTTAAAGACAGTGTTCTGGAATATCCAAAATAGCAAGAACACTTAGACTTATATACTACTGCATAGTGCTTTACAGCCCTCTCTAAATGGTTTACAGAGTCAGCATATTTTCCCCAACAATCTGGATCCTCATTTTACTGACCTCAGGAGGATGGAAGGTTGAGTCAGCTGGTGTGAATTGAACTGCTGACAGTCAGCAGAATTAGCCTGCAACATTGCAATCTAACCACTGTACCACAACGGATATATACAACAGTAAAGTTTCTTGGATGAGATGTCTCTGTACTTTTACAATGCAGTATAGAGAATCTTGAAGTACACTTGAATTATTTCAAAAGAAACAAACAAATCTTCCTTGGGTTCAGAAAAGTTTATGGAAAAAAGCAAAAAATGAAAAGATTTAAACTATGTATTTGCATTAATCTGAAAGTCCTTTAGAAGATCCTGTTTCTGACTGCTGAGTGGGCAATAATTATGGAGATAGGGAGATACCTGCTTGAAGAAGACACTGGAGCATCTAGTCCTACTATAGAAAAAAAACTTTCTTGCTGTTTAGTGCCTTCATATCTCAGATAGTGAAGGGACCATAAACGTTCATCTGATTGCTCAGGTACATTAATCTTCCTACAATGGAGCTGTAGGCTATGCTGTCTCTTATCTGACCATTCACTATGCAGAATCTTTTTTTACATGGCCTCCTAAAATAATTCTCACATACCATTGACAATAGAGAGTGTCAGCCTTGAGCTATGGTCTCATCGTTTCTTAGTACAGAAGATGCATTGAAAATCTCTGTCATTATTATCCAAACTCACAACATCAGTAATCTGTTGGGATAATAAGTATCTTATCTCATACTATATATATACATACACATACATACATACATACATACATACATACATGCATGCATGCATACATACATACATACATACATACAGTATGAGATAAGATACTTATTATCCCAACAGATTACTGATGTTATACTGATTATATATTGTTGTATTTGTGCTGATAAATAAATAAAGGGAGACTAGTACAGATCTATTTAGCTCTCATCAGCTAGCCATACCCTTACTGGGATTTGAAATCATCTATACTAGTCTCCCTTTATTTATTTATCAGCACAAATACAACAATATATAATCAGTATAACATCAGTAATCTGTTGGGATAATAAGTATCTTATCTCATACTGTATGTATGTAT